CGAATAATCATCACATAAGTTAAATAAATTATTAAAATTGTTAACTAACTTCTTTTATTCGGTAATGGGTCATGTTGCAATTACCGTGTTGGTGGCAAGGACCATTAGGGGCGGAATTCATTTAAAGATTTCAAGAAAATACACAAGATTTGGAGATATATATCGATCCGCTTTCGCGTTTTGTTGCCAAAGCCAACACAAAAGGAATATATCGCAAATTGCCCTGCGATTGTTCTACGTGAAATGTTCATGGTTTAGCGCTAGCAACCTCCAGGCGTTTCTTCTTAGCTGTGCCTCCCATATCTTTCCACTCCACACCATTGACTCATTGACCCATTCACTTGCCCCGTCAGGTCGTTTCATGTCCACGGAGTATGACAAATGACAGGCTGCGGCTGGTCACGTGTCAGTTTTCCCGCTAAACTTGGACGTAAAACTGAATTTGTGCGTAAGTCACGTGACATCAAGTCACGTGATATCATTATCGCCACTAAATTTAGCGGAAAAATTATGCAGCGGCTAAAGTGTTCTATCGTGGCCGAGATACAGAGACCAGACTCATGTCGGAGCGAATCAACAAGAAGATTTATTCGTTACGTACTCTCTTTATATAGTCGCCGCTATCAGGGCGATGACGTCATGTTGCTGACGTCTGGGTAGCGTGTTTATCAATACATGACACTCTTCCCTCCTCAACAAAACAAAGGTTTGCAAATTAATCTAGGCTACTTGGCCTTCGCTCTGTAATCATCGGCTTGGTACTTGTCGGGAGGTCGCCGGGTGCGGTTGCTTCGCCGCGGTGCCGGTGCTTCACCTTGAACCCTTCCGGCGGTGGACGTCGCTTCTCCGGCGTTTCCTGCAGCGGTTTCCTGAGCCCCATCGGAGTCTGCAACGCCTTGAAATAAGGTTGCTAGTGATAGATCACGGTCGTGCAGCTCTTCAACTGCAGAACTGGCCTCTGTTGGCTGGCTGTTCTTGCAAGGGTTGCGTTGATCATCGGGTCGGTTGTCCGTGATCGCTGTAACGTGTTGACTTGGTGTAAAATGTGGTCTCGGTGCAATACACCATCGTTTCCGCAAGTGGCCAGCATGGGTGAATCGCACGTTGTCTTTTACTCAGACGAGGTACGTAGCGGGGCTGACGACTTGTTCGACGATTCCATCCTGCCATGATTCGGCTTTGCCTCGCGTTGTTTTGACGTAAACCTTGTCATTGACGCAGAAGAACTCCGCTGGCCCTCTTTGCTTGTTGAGTTGGTCGGCGCTCCTGTGTTGACGGTCTGCCATGTCACCTGCAAAGCATGGCGTGAGCAGAGAACTTTATGCGAGGCACTCGCTTTAGGAAGAGCTCCGCTGGAGTTTTTGCCGTCACTGAGTTTGGCATGCACGTGTACGACAACAAGAAATCGTTAAGGCGCTTTTGTGTTGTGCGCTTCACTCCTGCTGAGTTGTCGCAAAAAACTTGCTTGAGCAGCGCTGTCTTCGTGGTTCGCACCAGTCTTTCAGTGGCTCCGTTCGATGCAGCGTGGTAGGGAGGTGTCCTCGTATTCCTGATACCACGGTTTCGCAGGAACTCTTGAAACTCGTCCGAGGTAAACTGTGGGCCGCTGTCAGTTACAAGTTCCTCCGGATAGCCGTAGGCTGCGAAGAGTATGTGTAATTTCTGGGCTGTCTGCGCACTTGTCGTTTTACTCATGCAAAAGACTTCGATTCACTTAGAGTAAGCGTCGACCAGCACGAGCAGGTTAACTCCATCTTTGACTGCGTAGTCGGCGTGAACGCGTTGCCATATTCTGGTCGGATAGGGCCACGGCTGCAGTAAACCGGGAGTTTTCGCTGGGAGGACGCTTTGGCAAATAAGACAAAAGCGAACCGTGTCTTCCATTTCCTTGTCGAGAAGAGGCCACCAATCGTAAGACCGGGCTAACATTTTCATCCGAGTCATACCTGGGTGGGTTTCATGTAGTAGAGTGAGCACGTGTGCTTGCAAGGTCTTGGGAATGACGACCCGATGTCCCCAAGTCAAACATCCTCCTTCCACTGACAGCTCGTTCCTACGCACAAAGAAGGCTTGCATTTCTTCGGGATACTTTCTTGGCCACCCCGAGGGCGTGTAGTTGATAACTGCCGTGAGGACCAAATCACGCTTTGTTTCTCACGCCACTTGTTGGGCGGTGAGCGGCATTGCGTCGAAAACAGCTAGACATTCTGGATCGTCATCCTTGTCTTTCGCCGCTAGTGGCAGCCGTGATAACGCATCCGCAACTTGCATGTTGTGGCCGTTCCGGAACTTGAGCTTGTACTGATATGCGGAAAGTGTTACAGCCCATCTTTGAATTCTTGCGGCTGCTAGTGTTGGAATTGGTTTACCCTGTCCTAGAATGCCAACCAGAGGTTGGTGATCAGTGTACAGACTGGTCTATATAAATACCGGTGAAATATTTTCAGACCAAAAATAATAGCAAGCGCTTCCTTCTCTCCTTGCGTATAGCTACGTTCACTGTTTGTGAGAGTGCGCGAGGCAAACGCTATAGGCCTTTCACTTTCGTCCTGCATTTCATGAAAAAATCACAGCTCCCAGATGGTACGCAGATGAATCACAGCTGAGACCGATGGGCTTGGTCGCGTCAAAGAATGTGAGCGCATCGCTGTTGACGACCATGTCTTTCGTGGCTTCGAAAGCTTTCCTGCACTGTTTTGACCAGTGCCATTTTTGCTTTTCCTTCAACAGTGAGTAAAGGGGCTCGACCACCGTTGCAAAATTTTTTAAGAACTTGGCGTAGAAGTTCAGAAGTCCCAGATAGGCTCTCAGTTCTGTGATGTTTGTTGGCTCGGGTGCGTCTCGGATTGGCTTGATATTTGTCGATGTCGGGTAGATGCCTTTGGCCGAAACCTTGTGACCCAAGTAAACAAGTGAGTCGCGAAAGAATTCACATTTTTCTTGCTGGAGCGTGATGTTATAGTCTTTTAGCCGTCGCAAAACTTTTGTGACTGTGTTGTAGCAGTCTTACTTGCTACTGCCCGTGACGATCAGTGTTTCCAACTAAAAAATTGAAAACCCGCTGTCGGAATCCCGAAAATCGCTAAAAAACCGCTAAATCCAAAACACAACGAAAAACGGCTTTTTCAACTTTTTTTTTGCTCTAGTTTTTGACAAAGGTATAATAACAATGTAGATCATATCAATGATTTTTGCAAGGAAGCTTTCCTTTTGTTTTGGCTACAAATCTGTCACGCCACGCCACAGTTCACCCAGGTGATCCGAAGCCAAAATTGCAGAGTGAGCGCATACGAACATGGCAAGGGACCCTTCAGCAGTGAGTGACTAGTTAGACCCGTTCAACTTGTAGAGTCGTCTGCTACCAGAGGAGAAAGGCGCAGTGGCCGAAACATGCTTCTTCGTTGCAGCGTGCATGACCAAATCCACATTCTTCGCAGACAGTTCCGTTTTGAAATAGCGGCACCTGGCTCGTCTGCGATCACCAGGAACCTCCAGTAGCCAGTCTTTAAGGTAGGGGTCTTATAGCCAGTCTTTTCTAAATTTTTGAGCGTACTTCACCGGGCCCATTTCACGAAACAGTGACAAAAACGTCAAAGGAAAATTGAAACATTCATGCTGTTCAAACGTGCGCGCACAAAACGGGGAGGCATGATCGATGTTCGACGTCTTAGTGTTTTGATGACGTCACAGGCGTTACTCTCACAAACCAGAACATTACTGAGAGTCAGCGAAGACGACTGTGGCCAAGTGTGGCTTATTATTATGGATATGAAAGACGCATAGTCCACAGTAAATCGTTATAAAACTTCTATATCTCTAAAAAACCTCCAAGATTACATAAAACCGGCTAAAAATCCCACCGCCCGCAAAACAATAATTTATCCCGCTAAACCGAAGCAAAAACCGCTAAGTTTAGCGGGAAAACCACTAAATTGGCAACACTGGTGACGAATACGTCGTCTATGTAGCATCCTACGTTAGAGATGCCTTCTAGGACCTTGTCCATCAGCGCCTGGAAGATTGCGGGTGCACTGGAGATTCCAAACGGAAGTCTCTGATATTCAAAGAGTCCCAAGTGCCTGTTAATCGTGAGCAGGGGCTCGGCTTTTGCACTTAGTGGCACCTACTGGAAAGCGGAGGACAAGTCCAAGAAGCAAAAGACCTTGCCACCAGCAAGCATGGGGTAGAGGTCTTCCGGCAGCGGTACCGGGTAGCAGTCAGTCTTTAGTACTTGGTTTATGGTCACCTCATAGTCTCCGCAGAGCCTCATTCCTCCGCCGCGCTTGGGAACGACGACTACAGAAGTCGCCCAGTCACTGCGGGTCACTCGTTTCACGATGCCGTCGTTTTTTAACCTGCTTAGCTCTGCCGCAACGGCTTCTTTGGTGGCGAATGATATAGGCCTCGCTTTGCAGTACACTGGTGTGCTGTTCGCTTTTAGGACGACCTTTGCCTCGTAGTTGGACACAACTCGAGGTGTGCTACGGAAGACTTCTGGAAACTTCTCCTCTAGAGACTTGACTTTGTCTTCCTCTGTTTTTGCACAGACGGCCTTCCAATCAAGTTGCAACTCTTCTAACCAGTCGCGACCTAGTAGTGCGGATAGAGTTCTTTGGTTATCTTCTACCCCGAAAAGAGGAAGCGTTGCGCTGCGTCCGTTGTGCTCTACGTTGACAGCTGCCTGTCTTTTTACCTTCAAGGGTTCTCCAGTGTATGTTCTCAAGGAAACCTTTGTTGGTTTGCATGCGACTTCCGCGAAGTTCGCCTCGTAGACGCTTTCAGGAATCAGCGTAACTTCTGCGTCCGTGTCCAGCAACATAGAGATCGGCTTCCCTTCAATGTTTACGGGAACCTTGTACCCACGCTTGTCGCTTGCTGCACAAAACACGACGTGATAAACTTGCGATGTTTCGGAGTCATCGTCTGACGTATCAACATAGTTTATCGGACGCCGGTTCTTCTCTTGGCACATTGCTTCCAAATGTGCTGTCTTTGCGCACGCACGGCATTTCGTATTTCGATACCAGCATCGGTCAGGCGCGTGTCCTTTCCCACAGCGATAACAACCACGATTCGTCTTTGATGCGCCTTCCTTCTTTAATCGTGACGTGTGCGTTTCCCGCTTGTTTTCTTTTTCTTTGTTCTTTGATCGTGACGCGTGCGTTTTCCGCATGTGCTGCCGCTGATAACGTTAACTTCTGTTGGTCTCGCTTCTACTTTAAGCAGCTCGCTGGTTTGCCGCGATGCGAGTTCCTTTTCAATAGGTATTTCAGATGCGCCTTCAAAAGTCAGACCCTCCGTAGCAAACGATGTTCTCTGGGTCTCTTCATCGCGTAAGCCTGCTACCAGGCGGTCTCTCAAAGCTTCAATCATAAATTCCTTGATTTCACAGTTCCGTGCTAGGTGCTTCAATTCTGTCATAAAATCCTTCACGCTTTCACCTTCTTGTTGCATTCCCCTGTTGAATTTGCAGCGTTCGGCAATTACGGAATACTCCGGACTGAAGTGGTCTTCTGGCAACTCCCGCACTTCCTCGAAAGTTTTGTCGGTGGGCTTCTGTGGAACTAGAATTTTCTTGAGCTCCTCGTAAGCCTGACCACCCACCACGTTCAAGAACAACTTCAGCTTTTTCGCCGCGGGTACTTCGTTAATGTCAACAGAATTTCCATGCCTCTCGAAGTACGACCTAATGTTGTCGCTCCTTGGGTTGAACTCAGGCATGCCTCCTAGGCGTTGCTGAGGATGAGGCGTTGACATAATGTCGATCGAAATAGTGCACTTATCTGTTCCGTTGATCTTGCCCTCTCCGTCCTCCGTCGTTTCCGTGACGCTTGCTCCTCGCTTCCGCGATGCTGCGTTGTTATTTGACTGGCCGTTGGGCCGAGCTGCCGCGGATGCCGATGCCTCCGTGAAATACCATCTTCGTTGCCAGTTGTTCTATCGTGGCCGAGATACAGAGAGCAGACTCATGTCGGAGCGAATCGAACAACAAGAATATTTATTCGTTACGTACTGTCTTTATGTAGTCGCCGCTATCAGGGCGATGACGTCATGTTGCTGACGTCAGGGTAGCGTGTTTATCAATACATGACATAAAGTCCATCATGTAAATTGATCTATGTTCCGATAGTGACTGAGTTTTAAACCGCCTGGGCGGCATAACGCGTCCAATCATAAATTAATAAGTTAATACACCAAAAATGTTGGTAATATTAAGACGAAAGTTTTATATGTCTCATCGATCAGTCAACTTTCAAAGTTCTTAAGGAAAAACATGTCGGCGACACGGATGGTACCAAAACCTTTACGTGACCCCTGAGGGGAATAGGAGGCAATGCAATTAAAAAGGATGACAAAGCGAATTAAGAGGGATCAAAGTGAATTAAGAGGAATCAATGTCAATTAAGATGAATTAAAGTGAATTAGAAGGAATTAAAAAACAAGTAAGAGTAATCAAAGCAAATTAAAAAGGACGACAAAGCTAATTAAGATGAATTGAAGTGAATTAAGAGGAATTACTGTGAATTAAAAGGAATTAAAGTGAATTAAGTAGATGACTAACTGAATTAAGTGAATGACTAAGGGCCGGTTGCACCAACGTCGCTTAGCGCAAAGCGGAGCTTAGCCGGGAAGTTAAGCTTAGTTTTGGTTTCGTTCGGTTGCACCAAACTCGCTTATCGCTAAACCTAGCACTAAACTACGCTTAACTTGAGCGCTCAACATTGGGCGCTTTGCTTTTGGTTGTTTCTTAATCCTGGATTAAAAACATGGCGGCTGGTTTGTCGCGGTCGACGCGGTGGACGAAATTGGTTGTGCGAAGTGTAATAGGCTACATCAGCGTGAAAGTCTCGACAAAATGACCTTCGATTGTGACAAGGGTGCAAAATATTGTCGCGTTAAGTGTTTATCAACCCCTGTTTTCAAGTTGGCTCTCCACTCTCAGGGCGTGTTAGCCCTAACCGAGATACGTACGGAGCTGTGGGGCTCACGGGGCTCACGTCTGTCTTCCCGTTGGTTCTTCTGTCAACGAGCTTATTCGTATGTACTTACTAATTTTCGCATAACCGTAACGTATTGTTATTCACCACCTTGTTTATTTACACTTGCAGCGCGTATCGTTCAATTCGATCAGCGCCTTTGAATAGTGGCAGTACATAATCTCGGCGATCAGCTGATTGTCGACACCTCTGCCGTTCGCATTAGATTGCGGCGCTTTTAAGCAATAAAACAATGAAAATTCAATTTCTTTCGTTTTCTGAGTTTTGAGACAATCTTCAGTGAATTTTTCTTATCTCGCGAGTAGAATCTTGGCTTCAGAAAACTATATCGTTCCATAACCGTAACTTTTTTGGTGATCGCGATTTGTAGGAATATTTTGCTTTATATCTATCATTCGTGGCGACGACAAATCGTAACGACTACTATGCTAGATTCGTTCATTGCTGTATCGGGGCAGGCTGGGGCTGGCGATGCGAAGAGACGACTGTTCTTATCGGCACGATGTAATGTCCTAGTGGGAGTTTTTTTTGTTTTTGTTTTTTTTTCTGAACTCGACAGTGTGAAACTGAAGTCCGTTTGAGGCTGCAGCGGATGTTCAACGACGGTACAGTGCAGTTCTGTCACCTTGCTGATAGCAACGAGTACCGCCGATGCAAGGTCTCGTGACCTGACCTCTCGACGACTTCTGTTCGACGATTTCCGGGCATTTTCGCAGCTGCCGTGGCGAGTTCGTCACTGTTTTGAACTTCATCGGTCTCAGGCTTGACTTGATTTTAGTAGTCATCTTACCTGCCTACTTATATCGATGATGTTTTGTCTTCAGCGATGTAGCGAGTAGAGTCCCCAATGGGTCCTTCACCTCAAAAGGTGAGCACGAAAACTACTACCACTGTCAAAATATCCTGTTATCAACCGATATTAAACACACAATCACAGATGTAAAGAGCATTCGAGTTTATTTGAAGCTTTGACTTCTGTTATTGAAAGTTAAACGAAAAAATGACTGAATTAGGAGACCTTTAATTTGTTACTCACCGAAAAGCAGACGCCGACGACTAATACAGCAGTTTTTTTAAACATTACGTGATTCCTTTTCGTTAATCGTATTCGTTTCTCTGAGCGTTCCTTAGTTCGCTCTGTTTGTCCCTATATTCCCTACGTAAATCCAGCGTTTAGCTAGGGGCGCGTCTGTAAAGCCGGCTTGACGTTGGTGCAACCGGAATTTAAACTTGTGCTTACCTGAGCTCGGTTTAGGGCGCTAAGCCGGCTTAGGAAAGTGCCGCTTTGGGTTAAGGTAAGCGGCGTTGGTGCAACCGGCCCTAAGCAAATTAAGATGATGACTCAGCACATTGAGAGGGATGACTCAGCACGTTGAGAGGGGTGTATGTCTTTAATGCATCGGCGCTTGGGCTTTCGCCTTGAAGTCGTTTTGCGGGTAACATAACAAACCCCCTGAATTTTTGTTGTGTTCTTGTTTGTGTAGCTGGGTTGTGTTTGCAACATATGTAAACATTATCATCGCCACCAAATGATCTGTACAGTGCAGTCCACTTATAACGATATTGAGAAAACCGCAAAATCCAATCGTTATAGCCGATTATCGTTATATCTGGACCGACAAAAAAAAACACAAAGAGAAGTTACTTACGGGCGATGAGTGAATCAGGTCGTACAACGCGAGCCGAGGCAAAGAAAACCGAAGGCTTTATTAAAAGGTACGAAAATGACTATAAAATAATTTAAGCATGCTTAAAAAAGTCGGAAATTTGCGCTTGCTTGAGCTGAAGTTTGACAATTGCCGTGTGCATTGCTTCCAGTTGTTGCGCGTACGCTGGCGGCAGTCCTTTTGCGTGCACACCTCCAGAGATATCGCTTTGCGCTTAGTCGGCGCCATTTTTACCTCACGAACGTACGAACGTGCGGAAACGGGGGAAAACTAGGAAGCGTTGCGCGGCGGCGGCCAAGCAAGCTCTTTCTCTCCTCCCTTCAGCGATTGCGATGACGATAGCACTTAGTTCCGAAGGATGAGGCTGAACTTTTTAAATCGGGCGGCGCCTCGCGTCACCTAGCGGATCTTTCCACGCCGACCGGTTTTTGATATTTTTACTAGTTTTCATGTCGTTCGCTTCAAGTATTTTAATTTTTCTCAAATTTCCAGGCAAATTTTTCGTGATAAGCACCTTCTGGGCGGCCAGAATTCTATCGTTGTATCCGATATGTCGCCGATAATTCTATCGTTATATATGGTTTATTTTTACATAGGGGCGATGGGAGAATTGACAAATCTAAAAAATTTGATCGCTATAAGCGATATATCGTTATATCTGGTATCGTTATAAGTGGATTACACTGCTTCATTTTGTCTTTGTCGATGAACATACAGTCTGATTTGGAACGTTGACTGGACTGGTCCTGTCCTTTTTCTCTGCCATGTCCTTGAGGACACCACATTTTTTTGTTTTGGCAATGAGGATGAGATGAATAACCTCGGTCTAATTTCTCCGTGAACTCACAGGTAACATACATATACCCGGTTAGTGTAGCCTTCATGGCACTGTTTTAGAAGCATTTTTAAAAAATAAGCGTTTTATTTTTTTTGGTATCTATACACAAAGAAAACTTAAGCTTGCATCGATCATTGTGACAAATGCGGTGTGCGCGCGTATTGTGCGTGCGTTATGATTTCTGACGCTCGGTTACAGGGTGCTTTGGGTGGTTTCGGATGCGTTGCACGGAATGTACACTCATGTGCTCTTCTGGGTTTTTCAGCCAGATCGAGACAATTAAAATTTATTCCGAAGGGTATGTGGGAGAGTGTGCTTAGATGTGACGGTTCCAAGGGTTCTGCTGCTTCCGAGGGTGAGTCTAGTGCCTTACGTTGTTGGCAGTGTCGGCGGTAACACCCTACATGTGACGGCGTTATGGGTAACGCGCTATTTTTTTCAGTTATGTGCTAACGTGCTCGTCACTTCTTCAAAATATATAACGTACTTACGTTACTTATTTTGAGTAACGGGAAACCTAATTACGCTATTGCTTACGCATTCTTCCCAAGACTCTAACAATTACAGTTCAAACTTTCCTGTTTTAGGGGCAAAGTCATAGCAAATCTTGCACTAATCCCACTTGCATTCCAACCTTTGCAACATTTTTTTTCCTAGGCAAACACTCTCGCTTTCTGCATGGGTATGTTGTTTCTTGAAATGTAGCGCTCATAAAACCTGTAACACCGAAAAACAAATTTTAATTTGTAAAAAGTAACGCACAAATGCCGTGCGTTGGCTTTATCCGTAACAGTATAGGAAACGACTTTCTTTTTTTTTTTGAAGTAATGAAGATCCGTAACGCGTTCCTTTTATTTGCGAGCAACGAGTAACGTATTTCGTTACTACAAATAATGGGAAGAATGGTCTTGTCTGTCCTTGAGTTTTGTGCTCTTTGCATCATTTATAATATCCTTACCAGCACGCTCTCCGTTTCGAGTATTTTGTTACACTTTCCAGTAATGGCTGTGGCGGTATTACCGACGAATTTGGTGCTCTCGACGCGCTGTCAAGCGCAGATGGGTGGAGTAGGATTCATTCTCCCGGAAAAGTATTTGATTCGACTTGAAACTCACTCTGGCCAAGAGTAGCGTGCATCTTCGCCCAGACGTCCCTGTCTTCCGTCGTCAGAATGCCCACACCGACGACCTTCTCGGGCGACATCTGCACGACTCGAATGAGCTGGGTGAGGATCCTGCTTTCGTTGTGGGGCACTCCTTGGGCATCGTACGCGTTGAAGGTGAACATCTGCGTGGTACGAAACTCGCACTCAGCTTCCAGGCAAAGGACAAGGCGAAATGATTCGTTTGCAGGGATCTGTACGGACTTGAGAAATTGAAACTCGTTTTATCGACCCGCATAAATAAACTATGCATCTCAGAAGGCCGAACATCGATGTGACTGCGAGGCTGACGAATAGTGATGGGATGAAAATGTTTCAGAACGTTGCTTTAATTTAATAAACGATATTCCTCTTTGCGCCGAAGTCCAAAAACACTCTGAGAAAATGATGGTTTCAAGGGACTAACGGCAGTATTTGGTCTTCTGAACTCCCAGACCATCTGGTTCGAGTTAGAGTCTATTTCAAACAAGGTACCGTGTGCAAAAGTCGTGAACTAACTGCACTCGACAAAGAATAACCGAGAGGTGAGCAAGCAGGAGCAGAGCCATTAGTCCCCCCACGAAAGGATGCACCTGTATGTTTCAGTCCCCGAAGGCAAACTGAACGCTTGCCAGGAAAACTGCTAATATTCAGGCTGTTTTGAAGATCGGCCTGACTCAGCCCAGCACGGCTGTAAATGTTGACCACATTCGGACGAAACTGCTGATTTTTGTATGTAACGATCATTCAGACATTACGTGGTACACCAACCTTCGCATGGTGTTTGAATACGAGTAAACTATCGGTGTTAACTCACATTCACCCAACTCTCTGGTCAACAATCATGTGTTGATATTTCGCAAGTCCCATTTATGTATTCTGCCCTTGCGCAAATATGAGTATTTATGTAATAGTAATATCTATGATTACTAACACTTATCTTTTCCTAACAAAACAACTTTAGGAATCTTTAGAAGACGCGCGTAAGCACAAGAACCTCGCAGTCACGGTAAATTGTCACCTCTATCGCTAAAACTGAGTTACTGAAAACAACTCGAGACTCGTGTCTGCGTCTCCCCGTGACCAAAGTTACGGGGACACGTGACCAACGTTACGGGAAGCCGCTACGGAACAGTTGGCGCACAGCGTGTTCCACTCGGAAAGCACGTTAAGGAGCAGTATCCAGGTGCCTTCATGTCATCGTCGCTGCTTGCAATAAGATTCCATATCGACAACGAAGAACAGACTCAACGAGCCCGCAACATCAGCCATTACAACACCGTGCTCGTGGCCGTTGCAAAACGGATGCAACCTAGAAAAACATAAATGACGGAGAAAACTTGGAACATTAAAAAAAAAAAGAAAGAAACAGCGCCTTTGGTTGGATATAAAGGGCTCTGATTAGTTGTATTTTTTTTGTCACTTGCCACACGTTTAGTGAGAGATATCAACATCGACACAATCAAACCGATCAAAAATTCTGTTTGTGATCATTTATTACTACTTGCCCGAGCATGGAATCATAACTACCGTTCAGAGTGCGACCCGGTAAGAAGTATTAAATGAAAAACTTGTATCGTCCTTATTAGATCATATAAACGTCCGAGCTCCAGATGCTTCTATACACTCCGCTGTAATTTTACAAAAGCTTACAGATCATTATTTTGTAGCATGCAAATGTGTATTTCTCTCCAGAAAAGGTTATGATATCGAGAGTGCGTTTCGTTTAGAGCTGGTTCACTTCAATGCTTTTGATCGACTAAATAAAGAATGTGGTCGGAATTTATTCCTATAAACGGTTAACAGCACGGACTTGTACTCCATGTTTGTAGACATCATTAGAAATTTCCGGGAATATTGATGACTGTTGTATATGTTAGGAAACGTAAACTTTTATAGCCTTGGCTTACTTCAGATATTCTTAATAGTATAACGCAGAAAGAACAATTTTGGAAGAAGTTTCGGCACTCTTCCAACAACGACAATATCAAAATATAAAACACAATACAAAGAAATAAGTTCAATGCCCTTATTCCACCAGCAAAAAGAAACTATTATGCTAAAAAGGTTGCAAACGCACGCGCTGACTCCAGAAAAACTTGGTCAGTTGTCAATGAGCTTCGTGGACATGAAAAAAGTGCTTGACTGAGACGTTGAGAAACATTTTGGGGCGGACTTGACCTCTACTGTCAACACCGTTAAAGTTTTTTTTTCGCAAATTCAGTCGCACTCTCGATAGACAGTGATGAGGATTCGGCACACTTCGCTTCAACTATCTCTGATTCCGCTTTTCTTCCACCTCTTTCAGAGTCGGAGCTGAGGACCTACCTATTTGCCTTCAAGTGCTTTAGGTCGGCCGGTGTCGATGGAATAACAGTGCGTGACTTATGCCGAAATCATGACTCTTTGAAGAATGTTCTCCTTCTCATGATAAATAACATTCTCGAAACTGGAGAAGTTCCAAACTACTTATAGCAGGCTATGGTTATTCCACTCTTGAAGGGTGGAGTAAGAAACCAAATTTCATCCTACAGGCCTATCTCAGTACTGTCCTGCATTTCAGAGATCTTAAAAAAGCATCTGTGTGTTGCTATGTCTGGGTTTCTTGTGAAATACAGTATACTTTCGATACACCAATAAGGTTTCGTCTCTGGCCGTGGTACCATTAATCTTCTTGAAGAATTTTCGGACATTCTACACTCTTCCTTTGACAATATTATGTTTGTTTGCGCACTCTGAATCGATGTTGCTAAAGTGTTCGATTCCGCAAACCATAACATCCTCTTAGACAAGCTGTGCAGAGTGGGCTTTCGTGGCCCATTTCATGCATTGTTAAAACGTTTTTTTTTTTTTTTTTTTTTTTTATAAATTGTACCCAAGTTGTTTCAGTAAATACCGTACGCAGCTCCCTCGCTTTCTTAACTTCCGGAGTTCGAAAAGACTCTATTTTGTCTCCCTTATTTTTTTTTTAACATCTACGTGAATGATATTTCTACTTCAATCACAACTTTCAAAATATTTCAATAAGCCGATGGCGCTCTTATATTTTTTCGACATCTAGTGTACGAGCGCGCAATGAAAATGCTTCATATCAATGTCACTAAAAAAGTGCACTGTTTTTTCGCCAACAGGCTTCGGGTAAATGCTTGAAAAAACAAAGCTTGTCTGCTTTCAGCTCTCTAAAAAATGTAAGCTTGACTTCTCAACTTTTTTTCACACCTCCAATTGCTCATGCTTTCATTGTACATCTGTTGATTACGTTAGCTCCGTAAAGTGTTTAGGCCTTCACTTTGACTGTGATTTCTCATGGAATTCTCATATCTCATATCGGTGTTTTCATCTCAAATCGGGCAGGCTAAAAGGGTCTAATTTTTAATTTTCACGAAAAAAAAATTGTTTTGGGGGCATTTCTCAAATGAAGGAGGGCGCAAACCGCATGTTCTCCAGATTTGTTGTTCTCGAGTTACGAGCCGTAGAAGCCGCAGTGGCAGAAACTAGTGTTTTTGCCTGCCGTCGCCGGTCGCGTGTTTGACACCCTCTGCTGGCGCTATTGTTTTCTCTACACCCTTTTATCTTTTCTCCCTCATTTAATAGGTATTATAAAGATACCTTGATGTATTCAAATATTTTCAGGAATTTAATTGTTTTCTAAAATACATGTAAAACTCGTCACTCCGGTTGCTTTTTGGTCAACTTTGACAGGTCATTACTTTGTTTGTACTTAAGGTAAATTTTCTTTCTTTGGCTCTACAGAAAGCCCAAAGCAAGCCCACCAGGGACTTCAAGCATGCTTCTGCGTTTCTCACGTTGTACCGCTCATTGTGCATGCCATAGTTAGAATATGCCTCGGTTGCGGGGAACGGAACCTCTAAAACCAACTCACTGGAAATCGAACGAATTCAGAAAACATTTATATCCCTCTTTAAACATCCCTACCTTGTAAACGATGTTCATTGTTCAACTTATGACGCAACGTTAGAGCGTGTTGACTTGCTGAGCCTGCATCGGCGTCGGCAGAAGGCGGACCTATTGTTTCTGTTGAAAATGTTGCATGGGTCGATTAATTCACCAAGACCCTTGTCTGAAGCGTGCCCTAGGGTTCCACGTGTGCCTACTCGGAATCAATCCTTTTTATATTTAAAAAAAAGATTAGTCTTTTAAGCCCAATTATTAGACTGACTGAGGTGATAACCAGCACTCTGAGAAACTCGATATTTTTATCTTGTGCTACACGGCATTTGCTATTTCTATTGAAGACCTGTCCGGCGTATGAATAAGCATTTGTGGTACACTTCAAGATTAATTTCGGCGAGCATAGGCATTGTTGAGTCTGTGCTTGTGCTACTGCTCCGTATATTAATAGCTGTGCGTGCATCTCAAACTTGTTTTTACATTACTGTAATTTTTCTTCATTGTACACAAGACCTAGAAATTGTATTTTGTTATCATTCAGCTCAGTGTATGTCGTGTATGGTTATATTCAGTTACTGTATTGTGCACTGTTCTTCTGTATTTGTGAGTTCAATGTATTCATTTTCATCCAGTGTGCCAGCACTAAGACCGATTGGTTGTTCCTGGGCACTTTAATAAACATTGATTGATTGATTGACTGATTGTGATTATTGCCTCTCCTAAAGCCCGTGGTGGCAACATGTTACGGTCTGTATTATTTATTATATCTGTAGTACGTTCCGCGATATGCATCTCCGTGACTCTTTCATACCTTCGGGGCTACAAGGAAGCTCTCAGCGTCTCTGTTAAGTAAAATCCTGCGAAATTGGTCAGTGGGTGTATGTTAAATATAATTAATAATGCAGTTTACCCGTAAGGACAGTTCTTTTTCAAACTCTCAACGAAACATATGGCCAGAGCGATAAGACTTGTCGTTTCAGCTTTTAGATTATTTCCGTTCTTCGACTGCGGCATCGGGCAATCGCCATAGCGCTTCTGTTACTTCAGATGGTCTCTAGAAAATATTTCACATACAGCATGATCAGGGATGGGCAAAATACATGCAAATATGTATCGAAATACAAATACAAAATACTTCGTCAAAAATGTATTTAATTACAAATCTAATTACATTCCCCAAAAAGCATTTAAATACAAGATACAAATAGAACCAAATGTATTTGGTCTCCTCCAAATACTTTTCCAAATACATTCCTCAAAATTTGCGTCAGCGACTTCAGGGCACCTGCAATGGGTTTCTGGGTATCTCATTTTAATTTTCCATCGCACACTCGGGAGTTAGTGTGCGAGGCTCTAGTAACGTAATAAGATATAATCACAAAAAATGTAATCAGCTTGGACGTAATAGGTGAAAAAACTGCAGAGCTTCAAGCAGCTTTTTTTGTGGATTACATTTTGGCATAGACCAACATAGAACCGAGACGACCAAGACGCGCAGCACTAGCTAGAGATTTTTATTGTTGCAACTCGCACCAGTTACGAAAATCTGGACGACCCGCGCATTTAGAATGCTCCAGGCAAAAGTATGGATAGAAATCAGGCTCGAAAGCATCACAAGTTGTCACAGGCACTTATATAGCTAATCTGCCTGTGAACGTCGATTTCGTCACTATTCTTGCTCTAAACTAGCATCGTAATCACAAAGTCACTAAACGCTTGTGTTTGATTGAGAGACACTGCATTCGGTGCAGAACGTAGTTTTCTTCCTGCTCTGGACAGTAACAATAAATTTGAGAGATGTATTTTCACCCCCAAAATTGTATTTAATTACAATTGTATTTGAAATACCCAAGTTTTCGTATTTAAATACACACGTCAAATACATTATCCAATTTGTAATTATATACAAATGCAAAATACACAAAGTATTTAAAATACGTATTTCAAATACTTGTATTTCAAATACTGCCCATCCCTGAGCATGATGATGTATACGATGTATTACAGACGTCAAGTTCGCCCAAGTAAAGTTGAGCGCTCACGCACCTGGCCGTTGTGAATGACTAGCACGTGTTCCCCAGATTTCTGGTGGGGCGTATTGAACTCCAACTTATCGTAGCCTATGGCCGGCGTGCGGTAAACACTGAAGATACGCTGGTATTGCGACATGTCCAAGGGAGTTGTTCCACGGACATCAGGCTGGAGAAGTTGTCTGTTTGGAAATATGATAAATTTGGAAGAATAAGATATCTCGCATATAGAACGTTTTCGATATCCTATCAAGCAACATGGGTAACACATACGTCCTAGACAGGAATCGTGAGAGCAGATCCCCGTTCTCGCGGAACACTGACGCGGCCACTGCGTCCGATGTCTGTCCAAAGTACGTAACCAAACAATGACTGGCTGGGTTAAGTGGTGCACCAGCTGCTAGATGCCGCGACGTTTGATAAAATATCTATTCCATTACGCTGGATTAGGGTCTATAATGTTTCGCAGTAATAGACTAACTCACCTTTCAATTAAATGTTTGAAATCCAGCGTTCCTGCTGCGAGTGCGGCTGCCTGTCTGCAAAAATATCCCCAGTACTGTCAGTCCCAATGTTAAACATGGCGCAGAGCACTGCACGTATTATAACAGGTGCAACATACCTAAGTTGATCTCTTTTCTTTGTAAATGTGTGCCTTGGAAGACACACACTTGCTGATGTGCTTGACATGGGGAGCCTAGATTGCAGAAAGCTTTTATAAGCCTTTTCTGAAAACTTTAAAAGTCTCGTTAGTCAATCATTAACGTGCTTTGTTCTTTGTGTGAAAATTGCACATTAATTAGAAAAAATCCCCAAAGAAAGCGGCAGCGCTTACCCAGTTTGGGTTATGAGAAGCTTGCTCTGTATATAACTTGTACAAAATTTCTCCGTCACCACCAGGCTTTCCAAAGTCATGAACAACCTGCGAACAGCGTAGAAAGTTCAGATTGCGTTCTGTACAATATTGATTTGTTTCACAATTATAGGCAGGTTAGGCGTAGCTCCCTCCCCTACGGTCCACTATTGGCGAAGAGGTGTTTCGGTCGCGCCCTCTGACAGTTCCTATGGCTCATGTCACGATCAAGGCAATTAGCAGCGAGCAATCAAGTTGGATGGTGCATAAAAACTGCGGTGAAAGCCTAGTCTGCAGGTTATTAAATCATCACCGTCAGAGTTGAGAGTCTGACTTCGCCTTTATTTCTGCCTATTAGAGCAGAAATAATCCTACTCAAGACGTCATAGTGGGTGATTGGCAAAACATGGGAGGCGGATCACAGCGACGCCTTTGATCACGCACGTCACCATAAGACAAATTAGGAGATACCACTACAAAAGTTTGGAGCTTATTTTTTGATCGCTACGTATTCATAGGAGCAGTGTCACATCTGAGAACGCCAATAGCTTGTTAAAAAAGGCACCAAAAAAAATTCTGAAACAAAATAAATGATTAGCCAAGAGCATCTGGTGGATGTCGCTGAAGCCACTTTTGTAAAGCACGTCTAGGAACCTTGACAGGGAGTGACGATAACTGTCGCGCCTAGAGCTATACATGATTTGAACCTCAAGTCATCCCAACAGCTCTACGGCGAGCACAAGTGAAGAGGAGAGAAGGGAGCTCCACACTCAACGGAACTTTCTTTTTTGCATCCCAGATGTCGTTATTCTCCCATACAAGATTATAGACAGTTAACCCGTCACTCAAAATTCACACAAAAGCAGCTTTACGGTTAGTTGCGGTGACCAGATCGTTGGAGTCAGGGTGGCCAGATGCGGTCAAGCGAACAAGAAGATAGTCGTCCCCAATTAAGCCCAATTAAAGCGGCGTGACCTTCGTGAAGAAGTCCAAAACAAGCAGAAGTTCAATAAACGTACACATTCTTGAAAATTATTTATTAAAAAAAAAGAAAAATAGAACTCGCTCAGATACGAACGCGAATACTCACCGTGCCATGCCACTATCCACAGAGCGGATATTGGCATGACACGCTGAGTAACATGCCAGCTTGAGCTCCAGTTTTGGTATCGTTCATGCAGGAGACGAACGGTGAATGCCATGGTAGTCAAACGTGCACTGGAAAGTGGCCGAGAGTTCCTCACGTGTTTTTCTGTTGCCATGTCAGCCATGTGCAGAACGAGGTCGGCATGAGGAGCGCGGATCTCACACTTGCACGCTGCTTTTTTATCGTCTCCGGTGACTGGTCTTAGTCAGTCCTTAAGCTGTGTTTTCTTTTCCCACTCTTTAAGATATCTTTTGCTATACTTCGACCACTTTGAAGCCATTTTACGTAAAATACAACGACAACTAGACACGACGACCGCAACTGTCGACTGGCGAGATGGGCAAGGTGCCAAAACATTGGTGAATGGATATTAAACGTTTTGTACTTTGAGACGCACGGTAGCTTGCGCCACCTAACCGCTGCGCCAAACGGTCATGCTGTTTTGCGCGTTTTTGGCGACAAACGCGCTGTCAGTGAGCACGACGAGCACTAAAATAACAATATTTGCAGGAAAAACGCGAATATGTCTAAAAAACGCGACAAGTGACTGGAAAACTTTACCAGCAACTCAGAGAAAAAAGAAGCCCAAATCCGCTTATAATAAGCGGAACTGGCCACCCTGGTTGGAGTGTGGGACACGTATAAGTTCGTAATTATTTCACGTGAAGAAAAAACAATTACACGCAAAATTTGCGCCGTTAAACGAAATTTAGGTGGAGGTCATGGCATACATTAAACCCTGCCCCCAAATGAGTTGCCCCAGTCAATCCAGTCGTAATGACTGGATTGACTGGGCTCCTCGGCCGAAGACGCTAAGACTGGTGTATCGCTTTCACGACATCCGGCGCGTCTAGTCTGGCGTCTGACAACACCTGCTGGCTGTGCGAGCAGACGCGCGACAGCCTCCGGCGTCGTTTGCTATTTCCCCACCGTCTCTTGTCGTCTGCCATGCCCGAAGGACGCGGAAATAAACGCTACCTTTCGGTGTCCGTTTCCGCCTTCGTCCGTCTGCTATTCCACTCCCCGCCTAAAAACTTTTACAACAGTCGCCAAGCTCGATCATTAATGGGGTGTTCCAGCATTCCATCATGCGCGAAAGACGGTCCAATACAAGCGACTGTCAGCGTCTGTCTGTGTACGGTAAAAAGTGGCCCAGAGAAGTAAAAAAGCAAAAAAAAAAAAAAAGTAATCATATCAGTTGTTATATTTTTGTTATTATTTTCGCATGGCATCCGCGATCGATGTAAGAGAGCGTGATGAGGCACAATTAAAACGTGGCCTTAAGTTCGTCGTTTTTGCAGGCTAAGTGCACTACAGACCTGATAGCTACTGTCGTTTTGAAGCGAAATGACTAAAGCATACCTGGACTAACTTCATACGTGCCGAACGCCCTACCGCATCCAGCCGAATGGCTCGCAAATTCTTAGCTGTGTAGGCATCTTCTCGTTATGGGAACCATGTTCCCTATCACGAAGGTTGCAGAATTCACGGAGCCGTGCAGCCGATTGTACGGGAACCCGCATATTTATTCAGCTGCAACACGCCCAAAAGAACAAATTATGCCAGATCGATAAGAATAGTGAATGTGGGACGCCAGGCTTAGGCCCGTCCCGCTACGAAAAGAAGCGTCCGCACATCGCTTCCGAAAATGCGTGCTTGCTATCGATGTTCGCTGCAAACCATGTCGGGTGAGGAGATCTTCCTCCTAAGCACCTTTGTGAACTCAAAAGAATCCGCGCTCGCAAAAACTGACGAGCTCAACGCGCTGAGCTCGTTCGGCGCTGGGCAGACACCGGCAGTCATGCTTGTTAACGCTTCAAACCAAAATGAGAGGAGCAATTTAAGAATGCATTTGAAAATATTAATTACGCTATCTTGATTAGTTGCTTCTAAAACATACGAAATAGTCAATTAAAATACTAATATGGCAAGGAGATAAAAATTTACAACTAACCTATAACACGCCGATCATCTCGCCAGCCAATGAAAAGCATAAGCACCTTGTAAGCACGGGGCGGGTATTAGAGGCTGCGACCTGCCCATTCTGCAAACAAATTGTGTCTAGCGGCGTAAACTTTGCTCGTAAAAAAATATATTTTTGTGGTAATTTCTTTAGTATACCCCTACCTTTAAGAAAATCTTTATATTTTAATTGCAGTGTCCCTTTAAGGTCTCCTCAATAAATGCTCTTTCATACAAAACAGGCATGACCATCAAAAGGACATCCTTCACGGAACTCAAAAAAATTCCGTAAAAAGCAGCGAATTTTTTTTAAATTCTGGTTTGCGCTAAAACTATAAATATTATTTGAAACACTTCAGTACCTTTCGAAATCCCTCCCCTTCTTGTGCCGTTAAAAACGGCTCCACGGAGTCCATGTATCTGCGAAGGATGTCTTGCAGAGGCAGAACGGGCAAGGCGGGCAGTTCGTTCTGCCTGGACATCATGATACCTTTAAGCTCGCGCGACCGGCCAGCCGCAATCCGTGATGAAGACATTCTGCAAAAATCTAATGCGCGACCATGGAATTTACGAAACATTTTTTCGGACTAGGCCTCGTTCCGTCCAGAACCGACTTCGCTCGGTTAACTATCAGCCTTCCTTCACAGGGCTCGGATGTTACACGCTCGCTTCTCTCGACACTAGCCGGCGAAATTGTCCTCGGCATACAATTTCGTCTGCACGTCATTATCTGTTCCGTCAGCCTGATATACGCAGAAATGTCTGTGCACTCGAATTCTGACGTCGCCACAGCACGACCGGCAGGTTCGTCACGAGGGCAGCCCTCGTGACGAATCTCGAACACTGACTGTCAGTGATCGTCTGGGATTCGCGTTCAATCTACGCGACGTCGTAGGCCTGGTTTGATGTTATTGAGCCTATTGCTTTGTTCGCTTATTTTATTCACTCTCATAAAAAATAGGAAGCGTACAGGTTGTAACTAGTCCACGAGTGACACGCTGTTTGTTAGATAAATGGCACAGCGGAAGGTTTCCACGATTCCACATCTCCAGTAACATCCGGAACCGTGCATGTCAAACAAGATGCGCCGCTTCATGTACATGGTTGCAGCAGCTAGAATTATTAAAAAAAAATACCTAATTTTTTCAATTACCTAGATCTCGCCAGATTTGCCACA